ACAAAGATTTAATACTAAGAATAGCTGCTCTAAGCTCAAAACTAAATAAATAATTTATTAAATAATTAAATTCCTAAACCTATTGAAACATAGGAGTCCATTTAATTTTAAGTTGACCCTTAAAAAGCCTTATAATTCAGCTAATTAAAATAATAAAATTAATCTTTAAATTAATAAATTGAAGAGTTAGAGTAAACTAGAAAGAAAGATCTACAAAAATTCCAAGACATGATTGAGAATGGAATAAATGAAAATTAAATTTTAAGTTTGATAAAAGAAAAATAATAATTGTAATCAGAATTAAGATATTTATAAAATAAATTTGATAATCTTTAATAAGAATAGTTAATTTTACAAAGTTAATTGACTTAGAAAACAAAATAATTAATTGATATTCATGATTAAATTAAAATAGATGAAACTAAATAAGTATAAGTATAACTATAAAATGAAAATGATCTTTTAAAAAAATAATTGGATAAAATAAAAAATTAATATGAAGAATTATTATAATTACAATCTGAAAATTTAACACCAAATGGTTTAAAAGAGAAAATATTATAGTAAACATAATACATTCATGATTTAGAGGAATAAATTTAAAATTTATAACATTAAGTAGAAACTTAAATTCCTTAACTTTCTGGTGAAATAATAGAATTAAAATTAAAGTTAAAAAATGCAATAACAGATGCACAATTATGGAATAGTAAATATAATGAAATTTTATAAATATAGTAGGAAAGATCTGAAAATTAAATTGAAAAACTATAATTTTAGATAACTGAAAAGGATGAAAAAATTGAGTAATAAAAATAAAAATTTGATCAATTATTTTAAGAATAGATTAATTAATTATCTCCATCTTCAGCATAAGCCAAACTTCTAAAAGCATATTAATAAATTATTGATTTGGAAGAGTAATTTTAAACATCAGAAAATTTGAAAAATTAATATTAAAGATAGCTTTTAAATTCTAATTAATCTAATGAAATACTAGAAGAGTTATAAAATCTTAAATAAAAACTTGAAATGCAAGAGAAAGTTGATTAAATTTAAAATTAATAGATTTAATTTTACAAAGAATAACTTTCTTAATAAAATCAGACATCATCCTCTAATTAATAAATAATAGATCAACTTGAAAATGAGAAATAGAAATCAATATTCTGGAAATAATAATATACTGAAATGATTAAATAAAAAGAACCATAAGGAGATTAAAATGATATTATAAAATAAAAAGAAGGTGAATTAGTTTAATAATTTAAATAACCTCAAGATTAAAATGCTTAAAAGTATATTAATGAGATAGAAGATTTAAAAAAATAAAATATTTATCTTTAATAATTAATAATTAATACATAAAGTAAGATAAAAACTTAAGAATAAAAAGAATAATAGTATTCTATTGATTAAGAGATATAAAGTCATATATAAGAAAATTAAGGTTTGACTAAATAAGTGGAAGAATTGAAAAAAATAAATTAAGAGTAATATTTTAATTATATACTAGTATTATTTAATAAATGAATAAAGCTTTAAGTGGAGATGATAAGACATAATTAATATCAGAATTACTTTAGAAAAATACCTTTTTAAGTTTAGCTAACTCTAAACTTTTAATTGATTTGGAAGCCAATCAAAAGGAACTATTTAAATAGAATTAGTAATAATAACAATAAGATAATAATTTTGAAAAAACTGAAATACCTGATGATAAATAAAAAATTACAGAGTTATAAAATTAAATTGAATTATCAGGATAATAAATAGATTTTTGGAAATAAAAATATTAATCAGTTTTAAATGATTTTAGTTAATAACATTCACCTACAAATTTGTAGAAATAATTAATTGATTAAGTTTCTTAAATTCATCAATAAGAAGAAGCACTTTTTGTACTACAATAGACAACTGATAAAGTTAAAATATAGAATGAAAATTAGATTAGTTAACTTTAAAGAGAGATTGAAATTATGAAAAATTAAATTGATTATTTATAATAAAAGTTAGTGGATGAATAAAATATTTATTAATAGTTATATCAATAAAAGGATTTATAATAATAGTTAGATGAAAAATAAATAAAATTTTGGAAAGATAAATATGAAGATAATTTAAAAAGTAATTATCAAAATTCTGAAAGAGTTTAAGATATTTTAAAATAAGATGAAGAAGAAATTAAAAATTTAAGAATTGATAAAGATTTGACTTAAATTAATATTAATTTTGAATTAATTGATAGATTAAGAATAGAAAATTAAAAATCTTAAAATGAAATTAATTTATATAAGAAGAGAATATTAGAACTTGAATAATAACAATAAAAGATTGAACCAAGTTAATAAGATACAATATAATCAAGATAATATTAAATTACATAAATGGAGAGAGATTTATAAAAAGCCTTTTAAAATTAAGAATTTTGGTAATAGAAATATAATGATGTTGTTTAATAAAATATTAACAAAGAAATTGGTTAATAAGGAGATGTTTAAAATTCTGTAAGTTATTGGAGATAAAAATATGATTAAGCAGAATAGAGTAGATAAGAATTAATTTAAAAAATAATTGAAAAAGAAAAATAATTAGAATAGAATATGCAATCTTTTTAATCAATGCTTAAAGATGAATTAAAAGAAGAATTAACAAAAATTAGATTTTAAGAAAAATAGAAAATACCAGAATAATCAACTAATGAATCTAATTTATTTTAAAAATTAAAAGAATAACATGAAAATGAAAAATAATAATTAATATAAGAATTTCTAAGAAGAATTGATTAATTATTAATTAGTAATGTATAAAAATATCCAGAAGGTGAAAATTGGAAAGAACTTATTTTAAAATATGAAAAATAACGTTAAAATGAACTTTATGAATTGAAATAATAATTATAGATTTTATAAAGATCATAAATACAAACTCAGGATATTGAATTTTATGCTGAGAGAAGAGTTTATGAAAATACAATAAATGAACTCAAAAGCAGAATTTAATATGATGATTAATAAGAACTTTTTGATACAATAGAATATTAAAGAAAAGTAATATAAGGTCTAGAAGATTAGATATAATTCTTATCAAATTAAAGATTGCATTTAAATCAGCATATTTAAGAATTAAACTAAGAAATTGATATGCTTAGAGACAATTTATAAAAATACTAACTTCAATCAGATAATAGAAAAAAACAAAGACTTGAAGTATTAGATGCAATATCAGAGATGAAAAGAGAAAGAACTAGAGAAAGAGAATCATAAAAATCACCTTTTTAATCTATGAGACCTAGTCAAAATAAATAATCTTAGGATCGATATCCTCGTGATTATCTTAGGCCATCAAATATATCCTAATCGTTTTCATAATTTAAGGAACATAATTCTCCAATTTAAAGAATTCCTTATCCATCAATTTAATTCATATCCTAATAATAAGAGAATAGAGATATACCCTCAAAATTACAAGAGTTGGAAGAAGTTAAGAATAAATACTAAACAGCATTAAATAATATACTAAAATTAGAGACTTAAGTTGTTGAAAAATTATAGTAAGATGATATAATTATTCAATGAATTAAGTATTTGTTAAACTTTTTTTCTTAAAATTTTCCAAAACTATAATGTCACTTATATATTCCAAATTCTATAATTTTATTATTATCCAAATTAATTAAAAAAATTCTTTAAATCAAATAAAATTAAAAAATATTAAAATAAAATACTTAATTTTATTCTAATATTTATGATAAATCAATAAAGAAATATATAATATAATATACCTATATTTTGAATTCTTGATAATCTTCTTTTATAAATAATAAAATTATTCTAAAATACATCTAAATCAATATGATTTTATGATTTATTGTTTAGTATAAATATTAAATAAAAATTAATCAAGTTAAAATATTTAATTAACCTCAATTTTTTGCAATGATTGTAAATAATTAAGGCTCCTGATATTCTTTTATTATTATAAACTGAATATCAAAATAATCTTATAAAAATAATTAAAAGTAATTTTTCTTTATAAATACGTTGTAACTAAATTAATATGTTTAATAAAAGATTAAGAGAAATATGAATATTAAGGTATATATTACATTAATTTATAGTTTGAGTTTATTAAAATTCATTTTTATGATTTAACTTATTACTGTTGAATCTATTAAAAAAATCTTTACTTATATTTAAAAGATTTTAGATATAAATCAAACAAATAAAAATTCTAGATTAAAATAAATAAATATTGAATTCATAAATTGTATTTTAATAGATTATTTTTAAAATTTACATCGAAAATTGGCATCAACCTATCTTAACTTTTTACTTGAATTAATGAGAATGCATCATTCATTTCTGTTTACTTACAGGATGAATTGTGCATATTATAACTATTATTTTCTGTAGATGTAGATACATGATATTTTCTTTTTTATTTAAAGAATTTATCTAAATTATTTTTAGCATATTGAGAAATACTAGAAAATATTTGATCTTTTTCTCTTTTTTATGATTTCTATATAACTGGTAAATGATTGGTTAGAGTTTAAGAGGTACCTTCTGATTCAGGTAATTTTTTTATTATAATTTTACTACCTTTTTCAAGAATATCAACATTATAGTGTTTATGTAATATTGCATTAGCCCAACTTAATCTATATGGATTCTCTATCTAAATTATATTATATAGTAATAACTTTTTTAACTCGAATTAACTCTTCCAAACTTTTCTTACTTTCTATAAGTATCAATATTTGATTGATCCAAATATGGCTCTCTAGAAAAATCTAAAAATTTAATTGGTTCTGATTGTTCAGGAATATACTGAGAGCTCTAAATAAAGATGTTTGTATGTTGCATTTATGTTTAATTTTATAAAAAAAATTATATATTGATTTTCAGATTTGAAATGAAGGGATTTAATGATTTAATAATTTAATCATTTTGAATTGAATAAAAGAAAAAGATGAGTTTTATAAGTTTAGACACAATTCAATAAATTTTATAAACTTTTAATGTTTCAAGAAAATCAAGTAGATTTAATGGATCTGCTTGTGCAACTGGTATCCAAGAAAATAGTTAAGACGGAAGCCATTTAACCAAACACTCCTTACCATTAAAATCAAAAATGCATGCTTATTCCTAATTTTCTGTGTTTTAGGTAATACCAACAAATTTCAATTTTTCATACAGTAATCTCTCTGCAACCTCATAACAACGATAACATTACTAAATCAGGGTAATTTTATTTAACAATTTGATAAGGAAGTATGGCAGAATCTGGTTTAAAATGATTGTTTTTTTTAAATGAAAGCCAAACTTTCTCATTTTCAATTTTAATAATGCCTATAGGTTATGGAGAGGATTGTTTTCCAATTTTAAAAGGAATTTATTCAAATTCATTTGATTCTTCTTTCTTCATTGAATAAAAATAGTAAATTATAAAATATTATATTTTTTTAATGTCATTTTTCTAAGACTTTAACAAAGTGAAAGTAAAAATACACTAAATTTAGAAATAATAAGATATTTTAGAGCTTTAAGATTTGAATAAAAAAGATGGAGAGGCTTAAGTCAATAAATTAACTTAGATGGCACAAGCAAGAATACGAAACTTTGAAAAGGTTTATCATTATTTAAATGAAGAAGTATTATATATGATTTTAACAAGATTATTCATAATAGATCTTCAAAAGGAATGGATGATATGTATATGATTGAAAAGATTATTATTTAGACCATTATTAGTAAAGGAAGCAAAAAATGATTTAGATGAAATGCTAAAAATAATATAAGAGATGCAATCTATTCAATTATTTAGAAAGACAGAGAATGTAAATAATATTTATAATTGAAATATAGTCATAAAGATAACAAACTGTATAGAAATTGATTCAAGTATTCTAAGATTCAAATGAAAAATTAAAAAAATTAACAGATTAGTTATTATCAAGATAGTAAACAAGTTTATAATCAGCAAAACAATCAATTAAAGATCATCATAGTGATACTTAAATAGATGTATAATTATTAGATGAAATATAATATGATGAAGAATTTATATAAAGAAGGAATAAATAGATAAATGAAATGGGATAGTATGATTATAAAATATGTTAGAGTAATATACTAACTAAATTAAATGATGACAGATGGAGCTAGAATGATATAAGAACAAGGATTAAAAATAGATATAATAAGTGGAAATGTTAGATCTGCCAGAGAAAAAGTGGAAGGAGCAGTTTCAGAAGTGAAAAAGGCATCATAAGTTTAATAAGGAAATAATGGAAGAATGTAATATTTTAATATAAATTAAGACTCTTTTTTTGTGGCATAATAACTTTGATAGTTGTGATAATAGTATTATTGTATAGTGCTGGTTCTAGACCTCATCCAGATCCTAATGCTTAATAACCATAAACATAAAATTGATATTAATATTCATTATATTATTCACCACAAATGAAATTGAAACAATTTTTCATAGTAGCAGTCAAACCAATTAAAATAAACAAAACTTTAGAACGTTTAGGAAAATTGCCTTCAAAATATCTATTATCTCCAGTCTTAAAAGAATAGAACGATATAAACCCTTAAGAATTAAAAGAATAAACTGGTTTAGATTTTCAATATTAATATTAACCAAATAAAGTTGGTAGATAGAATCATTATTTTTTGACTTAAGAGTAATATAAAGAATTTGCATATAAAAATCCTCATGGGAAAGTTCATATATTTAATTACTAAGATGTAAATTTCACATTGGCAGGATCATAATGGGAACATATACCAATAAAAAATCTATATAAACTCTTATTATTTTCCAGACCATCATTAATTATGCTTTAAATGAAACCTGATCAAATACTTAAAGGTTTTGATTATAAATTTAAATCATCAAAAGATTATATCAATTAAATTATCAGAAATCCTGATGAGATTATGCCTGCTGGATATCATGAAAAAATAGCAGAAGCCTTATAACATGATAAATTGGAATTTTTAGAATATGAACCTTATATAAATAAAGAAAGAATTGATTATGATAAAATAGCCACTATTTCATATTTTGCCAAAAAATTTAATGCAAAAATAATGTTAGCTGATATTCCAGCTCTCATTTTCAGAGAAACCCTATGTAATTAATTAACATTACCTTAATTATAATAATATTTTTAAATTGCATGTATGGCAACACCTTAAAATCCAGATATTATTCCAAATACTCCTATGAATGTTGCATATTAAATATTACCTCATATATTTTTAAAAAGATCAGATGAATTCATGACTACTTTAATAGAGTATTTGGCAGCTAAAAAATCATACAAAAGAGTTTTTGGTATATTAGGCAATATGTAATCTGATGCTATTGTAAATTTATTAGATAATAAAAGTGCATCTCATTTAAGATATGAATTGGAAATACCTAAAATAAAGAAAACTCTATTCAAAGATTTAACATGTGAAGATTTAATTGAAAGACATGCAATATTAGATGTGATGTATTATGGGGATATAGAAGAAGAAATTGATCCTGAATAATAAGATTATTATTTTCCAGAAACTATGGCTATTATTGATAAATATGCTGATCCATAATTTATTGATAAAACTAGACCAGCATAAATGAGATATTTACATTTAGAAATGCTTAAAAAATATTCTATATTCCAACAAAAATATTATAAAATGGGAAAATCAAAATTAAAAGAAGAATATATGGAAAAAGCCAATTTAGTATGATATTATATTTTATTTATTTTTAATCTTTATAATTATTCATAATGTTGTAAAAACCTCTTCATATTTATATTTCTTGAATAAACTTAAAATTGGTTTGAACTTTTCATCTTTATATGACTATAATAATTCATATAAAACTGATTGTGAATTATCTATTACCACTCCCTATTAAGCTAATCGTTAATAACATGTTGATCTATAAAGTGGTCTATTGCTTGATGTTCCATCTGTTAAGATATGAACTTAATAGCCTAGTGTATATCTTAATTTTACTACCATTTCTAACTAAATCCAAACAAGTTTGTTAAACACATACATGTGCTTCCCAACCATATATAACAACTTAATTCTTATCAGGATATTAAGATAACACTTTTTTTCCATCTTCATTGTACATTGAAAATGTATGTTTTTCAAAATAATGACTATTTGGTGGAATTGTTGCCTTAACCTCAGGGATTGTTGATCCAAAAGCTTTTACATTTTATTCTGTATAAACAACTGGTATATTTAATATGCCTGCTGCCTATATTTTATGATTGATAAAATACTTCATTCATTAATTAAGCACATTATATTGTTTATCCTGGATTATACATATGTTTAGGATTGTTAAAGACAGTTTATATATCACAATTGAAAAAGAGTACTCTATTTCGTAATAATTAACAAATCTTCATTAAATATGATATTAATTTTATAATAAATTTATTATAAACATTGAAAAATATATTATAATTCATATTATAATAATTTTTTTATTAGATGTAAATATTTTGATTAAATAATCTATAACATATCTTTTATATTTCATAATCTATGTATTAAAATTTGATGTAATATCAACATTATAATTATACATAAATATGAATTTATAATTTATTAATTACTATATGGTAACTATTAGCAATTATTTCTTATCCTTATTAGATAGAATATAAAATTTCTCAATATTTTCTAATAAAAACTTTTTATCTCTTTATTTTATGTATTTAAAATAATATTAAAATGGAAATTGAAAAGGATTTTTAATAATGATAGATACTCTAAAATAAATTATAATATTAAAATTGAGATTATGCATATTAGAATATAGGTAATTTTGTTAAAATTCAATATAGTCATTATTTGATTTAATTACTCTTTATTAATTCATATTATTCTTAAATATTTTGAATTTCTTCCCATTTTTTTTTTTCAAAAATTAGCATTTGTTATAGTGTTTCTTCTGTGTATTCTACTACTCTTAGATTATTAATTTAATTGTTATAATGTTAAACTATTCTATAGATTTTTTCATCTCTTTAGTTATCTAACTCTAATAAAGCATCTTCGTATAATGACTCTTAATAATCATCAGTGTCAGCCAATGATTAAGATTCACTATTAGTGTTGCTTGACATATATACTCCACAACTTGAAGATTTTGTTATTGCTTTATTAAAGTTTCTTTTTTGAATTCTTTCTTTTATTTTCTAACTTTATAAATCTAAGTCCTTTTTAAAAAGAATGGTAATCTTTTTTTATTCTTCTTTTGAATTTTAGATGAATTGTTGAACCTATCTTCTTTTACGTTTAATTTCACTATCTTCATCAGGATCTGTTTTACAACGATCAGAAAAATGAGACATTATTTAATTTAATTATTTAAATACATCACCCAAACATCTTTAGTACAATTTAACCTGATTACTAAGGTTGCTTTTATTTAGCTTCTCTCTATTATTTTTCTTAACTATTAATTTAATTGTTTAAAATACATTTCCCTTTAAATATCATCCTATATTATTTATACCTTTTCAGATAGGTCATCTGGTAATCTCATTTAATTCAATTAAGTATTCATCACAATAATTTTTAGATTTTATTTTGAAGCTTCGATAATAGATGAATCCAAGGTATCATCTGTGAAATGATCCATAATTCTGAAGATAGTTTGAAAAAGTAATTATTTTTAATTACTCAACAAATAAGTAAGCAATAAAAACTTTCCTATTAATAAATAAGTTTCTGATTCCTTATTTACTATTTTGTGATAGATTGCTGGAAGCATACAGTTTAAAATGGTCTGAATGTTCTATTTTATTTATTTTATTAAAGATAAAGATATTGATAATAAATTTGTAAAATGCTCTATTTTAATAATAATAAATATTCTTACTGTCAATTAATTGATAGTATCCCTAATTATCTAATTTATTATTAATTAAACCATCTAAATTCAATAATAAATAATAATCTTCTTATCTAATTTTTTGAGTATTAGATATCGATTATAATATTGTTTATATGTAACCACTAAATTTTATACTATAAATTTTATCCTTATAAAATTAAATTAATTGAGTGCACCTCATGAAATCAAATTCTTATGTTAACAAAAAATCCCAAAAAATTATATTTATTTAATCTAAGGTCTAATTATTTTGTTGAGATATTTTTAATAAAGATGCTAAACAATTTAATTTTACATTCTAATCGATTGTCAATTAATATATTTGTATTATAGGTTCAACTATTAATTATAAATCAATTTGATGATGAATCAGAGTTTAATAAAATTGCTAACAAACAACTAGAGAATATGGGGCTTCTGCAGAAATTATAGGTAATAAAGATTGAATTCCACTAATCAATAATTGATTTTAAGGGTTTTTATTAATAACTTCAGTAAGCAATTAGATTCCCTTTATCCTATAAACTCTAGTTTATAAAATTCTCTCTTTTGTAAGGGATTCTAAAGTTTTCTTAAACATATTCTCATTTTATTCAAATGCACCCTAAAAACAATAAATAATAATAATTATACATATTATGTAATAATGTACCCAATTAAAGTAAAATGGATTGGTTTATCAAGATTTGATATTCTCAATAATTTTGGTAAGGATTAATGAAGAAAGACTTGATCATAACTATATTTTTTTCCATTATAGACAAAATTATATGATTAATATTCTCTTATATTAGATCTTGGTGTACATAATATTACAAAGATATCTTCCAATAATTCTTCAACATAACATTTTAATTAATCTACAAGAGATTAATCAAAATAATTTTGTATTTTTCTATAAATACTTCCCAATGAAACTATTCTTTATATTAGAATATTTAGTTATGATTTTTCACTAAAGAATTAACTAGGTACTAATTTCTTTCTACCATCATTTAATAATGGCTTAGATAATAATTAAATTAGCTTTGTAGCCAAAAATTCATCTTATACTATTTTAGCAAATTTGCTTATAAGTTTCATGTTAGTTAAATTAACTGAAGGAGGATTATGGTTTTCTCTTCTTATTGTATCACATAAAATTGAATCAATTTGAGCTGCAAAATTTAATAAGTCCTTTTCTTTGTAAAAAAAGTGTTAGAACATATCAAATGAAATCTCCTTAGCTTCCTCATATATAGATGTTGTAATTTTGAATAGGAAATCAAATACTTAATTTGAAGTATCACATTATTTAAATAACTTTTATAATCTTTTTAAAAGAAAGATTCTTGTTTTTATGTGTATTGGTATTCTATCTTGATTTTCAGGTATTACTTCATCTAAAATATAAGGTTATAGAAGTTAGAGTAGTTCTGCAATAGGTTAATTATAAACCTTAATGAAAATATTTTTCATTAAATTTCGAAGTTCCATTTCTTCATTAGTGGAATGAACTCTTTAATTAGAAAATAGATTATTTAAAACAGATAAAATAGGTTAAACTAATGAAGGCATATTATATTTATCAGTTAATTAATCTATAAATACAGCTATTTTTAAAGATGGCTTTTTTAATAATAAATTAATAGCTTTTGTTACAGTTTATTCTGTGTCTTATTCTAATGCAAAATCTAATTATAAAATTTAAAATTGATTTGATTAAAGTCTGCATCTACATTCTTAATATATTATATTAAAATAATTATCCTTAACACCACCATTTCTTACATAATTTAATATAATTCCAGAGAGAATTTTAAATTAAGTTATTTAAATTGGTTTATCACTTTAACTTATAGCAAATACAAGAAATACCCAAACATTTTTGAGTAAACTTGGATCAATTTACTAGAATAGTTGAATTACTTTGGCTACATCAGTTGTCATTTATGATAAAACTTTCATCAAAAGGTTTTGCACTTATAATTAAACTCCTGTAAGTTTCTTCTTTAGAATTTCTAAAACTAAATAAGTGTAATTAGCTTATGACTTTTATGATAACAACTAGTTTAATTATTCAACTTAATCAACATCTTTAATTTATAACATTGAACAATAAAGGTATGCACATAATTATTGAATTTAATTATCAACACATTAACATAAATTAATAATTTAAAATATTTATTCATTAAATTCTTGAGATACAAGTGTATTAGCTTAATAGATTTTAAGAGCAATTTAATAAAGACAAAATAAATAACATTATTATTTAGATTATTTCTATTAAATTTCTTTTATATTGATAACTTATGTTTATAAAGTACCATTTACATATCTTATAAAATTTATTTTATTTTTTAGTGTAAATGATTATGAAGAAATTATATGACCTAAAAATTTACTAGCTGCCAATACTAATTAAAATTCTGATCTAGGTATTCCTAATAGTTCATCAACATAATGATTATTTTTATGAACATTAACTTAATTCCAAATTGAATTTCCATTTATTATATCTTCAAGACAAAATTATACAAGTGTATTTAATTCATTAGAATAGTATTTTGGTATTATTTATCTGATTGCCTAATAAAAAATATATTTGGAAGCTATCATAAAAGGTGATTATTTATCGAACCTACATTATTATAATTTATTAAACATTAAAATTGTTTATTAAGCAAAAAACTTTCTAGTTGTATCCTTAATTTATTTTGATAATGTATTACTATTTAATATTGAAATAATGACTAGACCTACACTACAATAACTTAATAATTATTATTCATCTTTTATATCTTCCTTAGAATTTAGATTTTTTTCAATTAATATTCCTATTTCTTTAACTTTATTTGTTGTTCCAAAATATGGAACCATCAATAATTCAGCAATTATTATCCAACCAGTTCTTCTTAATTATTAAGATTTATTTAAAAATGATTTTGCAGTTTCCCATAAATGATTTATTAATTCACTTGATATTGAATGTAATTATAAATCTAATAAAGAAAATAATTTTGATAATAATGCACATTATACTCTAAGTTAATTTAATAATTAATTAGTTTCTTTTACATTAATTTCTGCTAATGTGATTTTAGCATAGTTTAATAATGCTGATAAAATACTTTATTACCATTTTTTATTCTCTTAAAATAAAGATTCAAAAGTATTGAATAAATTTCTACTTACACTAATACAAATAGGTTTATCAATACTGATTGGATATTATAAAATATCATTAATTTTAAAAATAGGAGTTAATATATCTATAAATTCTGATGGTTNCAACTAGTTTAATTATTCAACTTAATCAACATCTTTAATTTATAACATTGAACAATAAAGGTATGCACATAATTATTGAATTTAATTATCAACACATTAACATAAATTAATAATTTAAAATATTTATTCATTAAATTCTTGAGATACAAGTGTATTAGCTTAATAGATTTTAAGAGCAATTTAATAAAGACAAAATAAATAACATTATTATTTAGATTATTTCTATTAAATTTCTTTTATATTGATAACTTATGTTTATAAAGTACCATTTACATATCTTATAAAATTTATTTTATTTTTTAGTGTAAATGATTATGAAGAAATTATATGACCTAAAAATTTACTAGCTGCCAATACTAATTAAAATTCTGATCTAGGTATTCCTAATAGTTCATCAACATAATGATTATTTTTATGAACATTAACTTAATTCCAAATTGAATTTCCATTTATTATATCTTCAAGACAAAATTATACAAGTGTATTTAATTCATTAGAATAGTATTTTGGTATTATTTATCTGATTGCCTAATAAAAAATATATTTGGAAGCTATCATAAAAGGTGATTATTTATCGAACCTACATTATTATAATTTATTAAACATTAAAATTGTTTATTAAGCAAAAAACTTTCTAGTTGTATCCTTAATTTATTTTGATAATGTATTACTATTTAATATTGAAATAATGACTAGACCTACACTACAATAACTTAATAATTATTATTCATCTTTTATATCTTCCTTAGAATTTAGATTTTTTTCAATTAATATTCCTATTTCTTTAACTTTATTTGTTGTTCCAAAATATGGAACCATCAATAATTCAGCAATTATTATCCAACCAGTTCTTCTTAATTATTAAGATTTATTTAAAAATGATTTTGCAGTTTCCCATAAATGATTTATTAATTCACTTGATATTGAATGTAATTATAAATCTAATAAAGAAAATAATTTTGATAATAATGCACATTATACTCTAAGTTAATTTAATAATTAATTAGTTTCTTTTACATTAATTTCTGCTAATGTGATTTTAGCATAGTTTAATAATGCTGATAAAATACTTTATTACCATTTTTTATTCTCTTAAAATAAAGATTCAAAAGTATTGAATAAATTTCTACTTACACTAATACAAATAGGTTTATCAATACTGATTGGATATTATAAAATATCATTAATTTTAAAAATAGGAGTTAATATATCTATAAATTCTGATGGTTTTGATCTTTTATCATCAAAAACATTTGAACCTAATGTATCAAATAAGAAATTTATTCCTTTTAAAAGTAATTTATAATTATAAACATTCCATTTTTAAGTTTTTATTTTAGAAATCTTATCAAAGAAATATTCTAATAAATCCTTTCTTTCATTTAATTGAACTTGTTAAACTAAATAAAGACATAGATTGACTGTTCTAATATATTCATATAATTATATACTTTTTATAAACTGTATGAAGATAGGGATCATCTAATGCCATGCTTCCTAAATAAGAAAAAGAAATTTCAAAAGATCCTCTAACTATAGAAAGTCCTAATTTTTTAAATTCATGTAGCAAATATCTTAATAAATAAATAAAGATTACTTTTTATATGCTATGAATATGTTCCCAACTATATTTGAAGGAAATTTAGATAAATTTTCATCAAAAAGTTGAAATATTTTTTAAGCTTATTCCCTTGGTTAAAGTTAAACTTATGATTTCAATTTATCTTTTTTTGTTAGAGCCACTATATTTTATTGTTAGAATAAGTATCTAGAAAAATATTTATAAAATAAGGGGGAGTCATCAGACTTCTAAGCTATTAAATACATTTATTCTGATATAACTTCCTCTTACATTAAGTATATTAGTGTTTACATACCTGTTTATTAGAGTATTTCAAGTTTTTCATTTTATGCAAATTTCAAAGCTATTTTAAGAATTTCAATCTTTTATGATTCAATTAAAAAGTACAATACATTACATAACAAAATTCGATAATCAGAACTCTTTAATAACTTCATTAAAGTAGTTGTGATATCTTAAGTTAAAGTGTATGAGAATGATTGAATTTCATGTTTAGTTAATTGAATTAATGTAACAAGTAAATTCAAAGCAATACTTTTTAATGATCCCTTCTTATTTATATATTGCAATAAAGCTTCTACAACTTATTTAATTTATTCATTTCCTGTTTTAGCAATCAATAAGGAGAAAGAATTACAAATCATCTAATATGTATGTTGAGGAAATTAAAATTAAATGAGTATCTGTACTAATTAGATTAATTCTGAATTTTATTAACTTTTTGCACTTTCATTTAACAACTCAACTAATCTTGCAAAATGACTCATTTATAATTATTTATCTGTTGGGACTTATTGCTTGAGTTTATCTTGTACACTAGCGATTAAATTCATTAAAAAAAGATTTTTATTTTAATTTAAAATGGTTATCAAGACTGATTTGTGTTCATTTAGTGAATGGCGTATTTATCCTGGACATGGAAGAAGATTCGTGGCTAAAGATGGTAGATTATTTTACTATTTGAATCAAAAGAGTAGAGCATTTTCTGCTAGAAAAGTATAATATGATTATTACATTAAAGATTAAAAGCCAAGAAATTCAATGGACTGTTGCTTGGAGAAGATTAAATAAAAAAATTAAAACTGATGAAGGGGCAAAAAAAAGAAGAATTAGAAATCTTAAAGTCTAAAGAGCTATTGTTGGTATATCATTAGAAGAGATTAGAAGAAGAAGAAAGGAAGATGAAAGTAAATTGTCACTTTTATAATCTTTTAAATAGAAACAAGAAAAGCTCAAGCAGAATAAGCTGCAAGAGAAATCAAGGACAGAAAGCAGAAGTTAATTGAGACTTAAAAATAACAAAGAAAAGGTGTAACTACCACTCAAAAAACTGCCTAAAAAGCTGAAACAAAAGCAGCTTAAAAGGCTGCTGCTAAAGGAGCTGGAAAACCAAAAGGAAAGAAATGATAAATTATTAAATGTACATTAATAATACAATATAAACTACCTCATTTTGGAAAATCTATAGAGAATTACAAAGAAATGTTTAACCAATATTAAATTGTATCTCACCTAAGAAAAAGATAAAGGCAAGATCATTTGAACTTGCTTCTAAAAGTATGTTAATTGAAGAAGTTAAAAATTCACCCAAATAAAGAATAAGAAAAATAATCAAATCTCCAACCATTCTGACGTAATTTGGAATTCCAATTAGAAGAGTTTCTAAAGTGGAAAGAGCAGATATTTTAGAAATTCTTTCTTAAAGAAGTCTTGATATCTAGGATTAAAAAATTTAGCCATAAGGTAAAATTAGAAGAGTGACCTTTCACGAATATTAGGGATAAAAATAGAAACGATTGAATCATTTAGTGCCTCATACTTAAGTTTATTAGCATTCTCATGAAGCTGTAATTGTTAAGAAGAAAAAGATCAATAGATTGAAAAATCAATACAGTATAATATGTTACAATAAGAATTTTTATAGAGATCCAGACAACGCAAAACAAATGGAGAATAAAAAAGTAAAAGTTGCCCACTTAAAAGATTACCTAAAATAACACATAAGAGAGCCAAATCCATAGCTGACTAAATATATTAAGGTCCTATTCTTCCTATTGATTTTGAATTATAAAGAAAAGTAGCTCTATTATGCTTTTAAAAAAGGAAGAATACATTATTAATGTTTAGAAGAAAAACTTGTATATAAGATCGTAAAACATTATTTGTGCCTAAAGATAAATTATTAAATTTTTAAGAAACACTTTAAAAACATTTTAAATAACAGGAAGATCAATTTGAGACTTCAGGTGAATCTTCACCATTACCAAATAAATTATTATAATTTCAATAAACCATCAATTTAAAAACAAAACCATATATACATGAAAAACCATAATTGACTCCAAGATATATTAATAATAATGAATATTCCATTTTTCATAGAAAAACTTCTTTTAACATTATTAATAAATATCTGTAAGAAAAATAGGTTAAAAATAAATTCTGTTTATCTCCACCAAATCAATAAATACCAAAAATTCAATCACCAACTTTAAAAGAAATTAATTTATATTTTATGTCAACTAAGAGAAATACTGATAATACTTCAAAATAGTCTTAATATACTTAATAGAGTTAATTAAAATCCTAAATTTCAATTCATACTTCAAGATCTAATGGTATCAAAGAAATTGATGAATTGTAATTACATTAAACGAAAAATCAATAAATAAAAAATTTTGATTTTAAAAAACTTTCTTAAAATACTTCAATAACTCACATTAAAACTTAACCATGTGAGCATCAAGGATCAAAAACGAAACAATATTATTTAAAAAAATTAAAACCATATTATTAGTGAAAAAAATGAAATATTTATCTTCTATATCTATAACAATTTTCAATAATTTAACTTGATTTAATCGTTTCTTGCCCAAAAATCAGGTTAGCTTATTAAATTCATAGCTTTTTCTATTGATAATAATTGATTATTATATTCCTAAATTAATTTAGATTTCCATTTTTCTTCAATTTGACGACCATTATTTATAAATTCTTTTTCCTTTTAATAAAATTCCTAATCTTTTCTATTTGATTCAATATCATCTTTAATTTATCTTATTTTTTCCTCTGCAACTGATAAATTGTATATTAATTCTGCAATATCTTTTTTGAAAATTAAAAGTTCTCCATCTAATTAATGTTTTTAATCTTCATATTCTTTTTATTATTCAGCATCATATGCAATATCTGAATTTTTATGATCAATAAATTATTTTCTTAAATTATTAAAGGCTTCTAAAATCTAAAAGATAATGATAAATTTATATTATACATATTTTTGTACTCTTGTATCAGTATATTAAGCTGATTCAGTAGTTTCTAATAATTCTTTCATATCAATTCCTCCAATTAGCATTGTAGCAGCAAAAATCTTTCTTGTAATAATTTTAACTCTATCTACTTAGATGAACTATTCATTAGCAAATATTCCCTATAGTAAGGCAATACACATATCAACTTATGCAACCATATGTTCATATTATAATACTATAATTAATATTATTGATTACAAGTATCTAAGAACTTTTCATTTTCCTTTTATCTAGTGAATGTTAGATATTCTAATTATTTTCTATTTTCTTTAACATTTTAATCTAGATTTTCTAATCTTTTATTTATACTCACTATATAATCATGCATTTATGAATCTAAATAATCTGTATTCCTAGCAATAAAAGTAACTGTTTCATCTATTCCTAAATCTAATTTTTCATTTTTGCTAACATAAACATTAATAGCTTTATCACTAGTAAATTCATGATCATGTCTCAAATCTTTAACTTATTCTGTCTAAGGAATTATGATACCTATTTATATACCACTGATGTTAAAACATCTGCTAGTTCTTTTAATGCTGAGTCACCTGAAAATGCCAATTAACTTAAATTCCATGCAATCTTACCCCAACTAGTTTTCTTATCTATTTCATAATTATCTATTTACTTTCAGTTCTTCCACTCCATCTTATTTACTAATATTTACACAATTTATAGTGCAAATTACCAATAATAGAACAAGTTCCGTTTTTTGAGTTTTCATAAAAAAATATTTATTTATAGCAAATTAATATTAATATAAAAAGTATTACTATTTATATTTTATTTCAATTATTGATTTATCAATATTTATTAATAAATATATGTTAAGTGTATGTTTTTATCTTTTGATTATTAAATAAATCTATATTTACAAATATTGAGGCTTTAAACCTTTTTGTTTTAAAGTAATTAATTTCTTTTAATAAATAAAGAAATTATACAATGTTGGTGTTGTTTTGATTAATACTTTAGTCATTTGTGATTTTAAAATTTAATAATTAGTATAAATATTTTCAATTAAAATCAGAATGCAAAACAAAAAATATGATGTTGCCTTTCAAAAATAGCAATCATTACCAAATATTAATCAAAAATAATTTCAATAAGTATATCTTCTTCTATGAAATTATTATAGGAGGAAATTGATTTAGAAAATTTAATTTCATATGCAAAAAAAGCAAATAATATTCTCTTTATAAAAGAGAATCTCTTAGATTAGGCTAAAGCTATTTATTACATTGTTAGGATAAAATTAAAGGATAAAGATGAATAAAAGTTTTTTGAAACAAATCCAGATTTAATCTATATTTTAAGAAGAGGACTTACAATCTTAAATTTAAATAGTAATTATACAATTTTAAGAAAAGGATTACCAAAATTTTATGATTTGTAAGTAATATTTATTAAATTAGAGGTGATTTTTGGAGAGATAAAGAATAATAATAAAATTAGTTTTTATATAAAAATTAATTACATAATGCTTACTAATCATTAAAACTAAATATTCCTGTAACTATTGTTTAATAACAATAAGAAAATGGAGAGAATTTTTAAATATCATTTTCTTCTATTTTATAAACTTGGGTTATTTCATCAAAAAATGTTTCTATATTTTGTAAGAACTATGATGATTACTTATTAAATTGTCCTAATAAGGATATTAATAGTCCAGAAAGATTACCTTGGTAAATTGCTGAAATTTGGTTTTCTGATATAATTGAAAAAAATGTAGAATAATTATAAAAAGATTTAACAGATCATACATTGATAGGAGAATTTGTTAATAATCCATATTTTGTTCATATTATAGAATATTAATAACCTGCTCTAAAATTTTTTGCATTAGTTAATAATCATGTAATTATAATTTATTATTATTTAAGGAAAGGAATTTATGTTGTCATACTAGATAAGCAGAACATTTAGCTAATAAACATAATCTCTAATTTGTGAAAACCAAATATATGTAAGCGAATAAAAGAATAATATTGGATAATCATTTATAAAGAATTTAAGACAGTATCCAATAAAGTCCTTTATCTATTTCTGGAGAAGGAGTAGTTATATATTTGTTTAATGAATTCGAATGTTTGTCAATTAGCAAAATAAAAACTATAGAATGTATTTGATAATAATAAGTGAGATGAATAACATAAATTATTTAGAACAAAATTGACTACATTAATTTAATAATATTAAGAAACTTAATAGAGTTATGCAGATGCTTATTAATAAGAAGCAAATGATTTGAATTAATATAATGATAGAGATATAAGTAGAACAATAGAATTAAATACTCATATATTATCAAGTTTGTAATAGTATAAGAATATTATGTATATTTTAGTTATCTAATAAATGTTAAATAGAAAGATCTTTTTTTTAAAGAATAGATATATAAATTATGTTCTAAATATTATATGTAATTTTATAATCAAATAATTGAATTAACAAAAACTCATAATGTAAAAAATTATGAAATGGATAATATTTTTAAATACTTTGACTAATTATTATATCCTTAAGTTTAAAAAAAATAAGAAATAAAATAAATGAATTTTGAATGAATATCTGTAAAATTAATAAAAATAATTAATTCAAAATATTTATTTTTCTAATTATATGAGCAACTCAATATCTTTAATATTTTTTTCACTCAAATCATTATTAAAGTCTAATGTATCATTTTCCTAATTTTATTTAATAATTATTTACAATTTATTAAATATAATCCTATAACTTTTTTAATCCTAACTAATTCTCAAGATTCATTCTCAATTCCTCAAGTTTACATACATTAAAATTATAGTTGCTTTGTGTGTTAATCTTTGCTTGTATTGTATATTATGTATATTTATCTAAATATTTTTTAGCTCCATTAAGTAATATTTCCTATTTTAATAAATCATTAATATTAAATCTTTTAGTTGGATCTACTACTAATAATTTTGTAACTAAATTTTTTAGTTCATCTGAATAGTGCTTCGGAATTGGTGGATATTATCCTCTTAAAATCTTTATTCCTAATCCTTCAATGGCTATGAGTAAAATCTTGTTTCAAATACTTTTAGCATCAAATGCATGTCTTAGTGAAATCATTTCATATAAAACACATCCTAAACTCCACATATCAGATTTATTATTATAAGGTTTAGATTAAAATGCCTCTGGACTAATATAATATGGAGTTCCAATAGAAGTTTTGCATAATTACTCTTTACATTCAATTTCCTTAGCTATACCAAAATCTCCTAATTTTATAAAATTATCTTTTGTTATGAATATGTTTTATGTCTTAATATCTCTATGTATTATATTTTAATCATGTAAATATTTAACAGCCAAACATAATTGAGTAAACCAATCAATTATAAGTGTTTCATTTATATATTCATTATTCTATTTATATTCTAATAACATTTATTCCAAATTGCCCTTTTCAGCATATTCCATAACAATACATAAATTTGTACTATCTTATAAATATTAAAAATTACTCATTTTCAAAAAATGATTCATAATATTTTATTATTCCAGGATGCTTTAAATCTTTCATAATCTTAGCCTCACATATTGCATTCTCCTTTTATTTATTATTCATATTTGAAATATTAATAACCTATTCAAATTTAATACTATCATACTTTTATAATACATTATAGTTTTGTATTTAATTATAAAGCCAAATAAGCTGCACCATAACTTCCTTTCCCTTTCATTTCTATCTTTTAATAATTATTCATAGCATCATGCAATTCATTTTATTATTTTGGTTAGACTTCTTCTCCAATTGAAAGTGTGCAATTACTCCAAGAATTTATTTAGTCCATTTAATTTGAAAATGATAAATTATAGAAATTATTAATATTTTAAAATATATTCGTTGTATCTATTCTCAATAAATATAATATAACTATATTGATCAAACAATTTATGTAAAAGTATTTTAACAAATTAATGTAGTCTATAAGTTATTTAAATATGTAATAAAATAAATTTTAGAAAATCAATAATAACTGTTCCTCTATTGTTGATGTCCACTTGATATCTCATTATATTCTAGATCAAATTTTAGGCTCTTGTCATATTTTACTATAGGATCATTTTATAACATACTCAATTCCTAATTATACAGAATTTACAACAATTGTGCTTTTGAATAATCTGATTAAGCATTACATTGATATTCCATTAGAAATGAATACTACTTAGGATGAAGAACCACTTCCTCCTTAGAAAGATTCCTATTCAGGTTTAATTCAAATTGATCCATTAAAAAAAGATATAGAAATTAGTTGTGAAAAAGATATTACAAGATCAACCAAATTTCTAAGATAATCATCTCATAGAATGAAATCAAATTCAGTCAGTATTGTTGTTAGCATGAATAGATCCACATAAAAAAAACAGACTTCTAAAAAATAAAGTATTGAAGTTGTTAAACTTGATGAACCTAATCAATAAATTGATGAAAAAGAATAATATTATAGATATTAGCATGAATTAAAATGCAAAATGCTTGAATAAATAGCTAAGTAATTATTTTAGGAATATATTAAGAAATGAAAAAAAATTAGAGGAAGATAGGGTGAGATAGAAAAATCAATTAGAATAAATGAAAAAACAATAAAATCATAATAATTGTGGATATGATTATGATGGATCAATTTTACCCTATAATAAACCTTTCATGTAAGTCAAACTTTATCATTTATAATCTAAAATATTAAAGAAAAAATAAGATAAGAAAAAAATGGATAATAAAAATTATATTGAAAATATTTATATTAGAAATCAAACTAAAATTGATAATCAATACGTAGGTTAATTAAAATTTGAGGATGACATTAAATAACACTAGATTAATAAATTTGAATCTGGTTTAGTCAGAAATATGAATGGTTTTAGTAAAATAGAGAAATTGGACATATTAAAAAATGATTCCTCATTAAGAATGACAAAAAAATAATATGAAGAAACATCAGAAATGATTTTTACAGAATCATTTGTAAATTTACATAAATAACATACTAATATAGAAAATTAGTTACCTGAAAACAAAAGTCAAATTATTTCTAATATTAAAGTAAAGGTTGGATCACAAAGAGATGGAGAAATAAAATATTAATAATAAAATTATTAATTTTTATTGACAGAACCAGAAGAAGATAGAGAAATTAATCTACATAGTGATATTGAAAGGAGATTAAATTTAAAAAATAAAGAATAAAATTAAAAATAAAATACATAACAATTAGTCTCTTTTGTGAACGAATAAGGGAAACTTCCCACACTTAAAAAATCTTAATAAAATAAATTAAATGAAAAAATTAAAAGATCTCATACTCAACATTGCTGAATATCTACATGATTTTTATTGTTATGTTAAAATTATATAAAATTCTATTGATTTCTTAAATATAATAAAAGATAAATTCAATTTTCAAATCATTATTAAAAGAATAATAGAATTTAAATATTAAAAATTTATCATATGATATCTATTTATTGAATTGAATATCAAAAATCAAGAAGTCAAAAATTTTGAGATTTCTAAATATTGTAAATTAAAAATAATAATGGATTAATTAAATTCATGGGGTTATTGTAATCCAACTAATTGGGAAGATAAACTTCCAAAACCATATAAGTAATTTAACAAATTACTATTATAGATTCATAAACAAAATCTTAAATACTATGATACTTAATGAAGTTTACAATAAAGTATTCGAAATTGAAAAATATCGTTCTGACCCAAATTATGAAGGACAATTAAGAACGTTGCCTCCTTAAGGTGTTTTTGACATTCCTTAATTGAGTTGTGTGAGTCGAGATAGTTCAAGCAATTTAGTAGCAGCAGGAGATACTTAGGGAAATTTAATGATATTAGATTTAAGTAAGAAACTTAGAATTGCCAAGAAAGAAACAAATGGGAAAAGAATACTTAAAGTATGTTTAAGTAGTAGAGATTAAGCAACAGATGATTATAAGAATGTTTGTGTGTAGAAAGTAATTATTAATTTAGGATTGGAGTTGTTTAACATAATGATCCAGTTGTGTACATTTATCGTTTCAGACCATTAGAAAATAAACTATTACTTCATCACACTATTACAATGTCAAAGGACAAGAATGTAATAGGTGAATATCCAGTAGATGTAGATATTAGTTAATTTTCTTAATATATAACTGTTACATAATATAATGGAAGTGTCAAAGTGTTTAGAATTCCAGATTTAAAAATAGATTAATAATCAAATTCAAGTCAAATATCAAATAATAGTGTTGGAGCATAAAGTCCAAGACATATTTAAAGTTAATTTAAACCATCACCAATAAAAGGGAAAGAATAGCCAATAGTGGCTCCAATTCAATAATAATAAATTTAAACATCTCCAATGGATATTACATGTTCTGAATTAACTGATTTGGTTTATTAAGTTAAGTTTAATGGAATACAGAAAACACTGGATTATAATGGAATAATAGCTAAAATTAAATAAGATTTTACCACTCCAAAAGAGCCTCCTCCTGAAGAAAAGGTTGATCCAAAAAAGAAGGCTCCAGTTCCTCCAAAAAAAGCTGTGGAAATAGCACCTGTACCAGTTGTAGAGGAAATACTTTATGATGAAAATGATAATGGAGCAGTACCAAATGATGATGATTATCCAATTCAGAAATATAGAGCTTTAGTTGAATTTATTATTGAAAGATTTAGTATACAAAATGGAAACAAAACATTTAATTCATATAAATAGCATGAATGCATAACAGGAATAGTAGTTGGTTGGACTAATACAACAAGAGTTGAATTACATCGTTTTACTAGTGCAAAGAGATCAGCACTACCAGAATACTTAAGTGCTTCTTTTGGATTACCATCTTAATAGCTATTAAAGTAGTAAGCATCAATTACAGAAGTTTAAATTCTTTATCCTTTGAGTTGTATGGCCATATCAAAATCATCAGTATATTTAGCTGCTGGGTTATAATAAGGAAGTGTCTTTGTATATGATATAATATTAGAATAAGAGAGATTTTATTTAGATAAGCATATGTACAATTGTACTCAGATTTAATTTTGTGATGATAATAGATTAGTTTCATCTTCATATGATGGAAGTGTTAATATCTATGATATAAAGGAAGGTAAGTTGTTGTGTAAAAGAACACATCAATTTAGAAAGGGAAGTAAAGTAAAAAAGGAAGAATAAAAATAAGGATTGTGGAGAATTATTGGAATGAGTGTTAGTCATACTGGAGTGGCAGCTGCTTTGGATGCTTAATAAGAAGTTAGAATTTATGATGTTTGGCATGGTGAAAAAATAGGGAAACTTACTCCTTAATAAGTTATGGATGATAAATTAAGATAATGGGTTTAAGATAAACCATTAGTGGCATGTTATAAAAACGAAATTTTAATATCAGCTGATGTTTTACAAGTTAATTAATATACAACATTACAAATTTATAAAATATTTGACAATTTGGTTAATTTATTTCCAGGATTAGCTAATATATATAGAAAAGGAATTGAAAAAGATAAAGTCATGAACTTATTTGAAAAAATATCCAAAAGTGAATTATAAAATCCATAATTTGATATTCCAAATCTTTTAGGAAATGGTAATAATCAATTAAAAATTCCTGGATAAGAACATAGACCTAGTTAATAAAGAGGAAGCTAATAAAGAATTGGGTATACATATAAATAAATTTAAGATCATAACATGGTTCTCATAAAAGTGGTAAATTACCTCCTGCAGCCCCTTCAAGTATTAAAGGAGGTCCTGTCTCTCTCATAAATTCATTACATAAATCTAATCATTCAGATTAATAGGTTGATTTTAATTCATCTTTCAAAAGTTATCAAGCTTCTTCAATGTCTCATAGACTCTCAAAACAAAATTCAAAATAAGCCATATTAACTAAAGAAATGCTACATCCTGAATAGTTCTTATTAGAGAAGGATAAATCTTCAATTCCAGTTTTAATCAAAGATGATACAAGTATGGTTGAACGTTGTAGAAGTAGAAATTCTGAAAGATTGGTGAGAATCGAGAAGGTTAATAATATGATATAGAAAGTTGGATAATAATTGGCTTAAGAGGAGGAAAAGAAGAAGCTTCAAGAGCGTCATCGTTAATTGTCTTCTGCTAAATGATTAATTAATTATGTATTTGTTGTAATGAACCCAAAAAATATAAATGTCCTAAATGTGAAATGCCCTATTGCAGTGCTGCATGTTTCAAGCTTCATAATTGCAAACCTATCCAAAAGAAACCATAAATATAAGATCAAGAACCATTTAAAAGTGATTATATTGAAGATGAATATAAATTATCAAAAGAGAAATTAGATATACTTAGTAAATTTGAAATATAAATAAATAAATAGAAAGAAGTTAGAAAATTAGAAAGTTTGTTTCCAATAAGCGTCTTTAAAAATTATTAATTCATATTGATAATAGTAAATACAGATTTAAAGAATTAAATACTTGTATATAAAATGATAAAGATTTTGATGATTTTTGTACATTAATGTTATCTGAAATGGGACATATTGAGGAAAATGGACAATTTAAATGATCAGCCATAAAATATTTTATTATAAAAAATACATATTATTTTATTATACAGTCTAAAAATATAATGAGAATAATCTAATTTATAAACAAAAGTTTAAGAAATTCTAAAATATTAATAAAAATCATATAATAAAAACCTTATGGTTTATTTTGTCGATGTTGCTTTAATATGGGCATTGCCAGCCATCCTAATTAATAAATTGATTTTCTATTTAGTTTATAAGATTGGTGGAAATCATGAATGTATTGTAGATGTAGCCTACTCTATAAGTCATTTAGTTGCAGGAGTAGTATATTTTATATTTTCGACAATATCAACTCCAGCAAAGATAGTAATAATAATTTAATATTTTAAGATTAATATCCTTCTTGTTGCATTATGGTCATTAAGACTTGGTGGATTTTTATGTGTGACTAGAGTATTAGTTGGATTTAAGGATGAGAGATATGATAATATCTTTAGTGAATATAATGCAGATAAATTTAAGAAAGATTTAATGGTCTTTGTGTAATTTATGTTCTAAGGATTGATTGTTTTTGTTACTAGTATACCATTATATTTCTTATTTCTAAATGATCTTACATGGTAATCAGATAATTTCAAAGGTTTGAATGTGATGAATTACATTGCTTTATCAATAATTCCTTTCAGTATATTCTTAGAAGCAACTGCAGGTATATTTGAAATATAAAAAGTATAGACTTACAATTAGAGAAATTTAAGAAGTAGAAATAATAGGGTTTGATAGCTAGAGAAGATTTAATGGAAACTGGACTTTGGAGAAAGAGTCGTCATCCAAATTTATTTTTTGATTTAGTTACTTGGTTCTGTTTTGCATTAGCAGCAATTAATGATGCAATAAGTTTATGTGCTTTTATAGGACCAATTGCTTTATTTTGTGTAATGGAATTTCTAACAACTCCATTAACAGAGGCACATATGAAAAAGAAAAGAGGGGATATTTATGCATAATATGTTGCTAGAACAAATAAATACTTGGTAATGTGATGATTATTATTGATTGTATTATAATTTCAATTAAAACTAAATTAATCTTTTGGTAGTGGAGTTTTTGTAGTTCTTAAATATTCACTTTTTGAATCTCCAGTTGTGATTGGATTTCTAGATAAATTATCTCTAGATGGAAGATCTGAAGTCTTTAATTATTATCTGTAAACAGAATCTGAATTATTACCAGGTTCAGCAATTTTAATACAATGAGGTTTAAAAACTTATTCTTTTCTATTTCCTGAGAACTAAATTTTAGTAAAAGAATTTTGAATACATCAAAAATATTTGTAGCTTAATTGCTGTATTAAGTTGTTTTTACAGTTGGTTTATGAAGAGGAGGTGCATTAGTAATTAAACTAGTGACTTAAAAAAGGGGAGTTTATTATCTTTCATTTTATTTATTGGCGCATTTTTCTTTGGCTGCTTAATAAAGAACAAGATCAGATTCTTTTGGAGGTTTATCAATTTAGTTTACTTATTGATTAATAAAACACTTAGAAGATGAAGTTTTATATTAATTCACAGTTTGAAAATTACTCTAATTATCCATATTTTTGTTAGTTTGTTAATTAAATTATGAATTACTTCATATAAATATAAAATATTATAATATACATGAAGTTAGTAATACTATTTTTGTTTATGTGTATTTATGTAGTATAGAGTGAGACTATAAATTTAAGTTTAAGTTCACCCTGTTAATGTACACAATTATTTGAATATGATTGTTATAGGAATTAAAATTGTGTTTGGAATAAATTGTAATTAAGATGTGAAATCAAATCAACTACAGAAGAATAAAACACTAATACTAAAACTAAAAATAATACTTATTGTTCTAAATTTGGATCTAATAAATGTTGGGAAACAGAGGGATGTGCTTACATTTTAAATGAATGTGTTTAATTTACATCATGTTCTAGTTATCCTTTTAGTGTTCAAGAACTTTGTTAAATGATTTCTAATAAATGTATCACTGATGGTGAAAAATGTATTGAAATTGGAGATTGTTATTAATATTAAACATCTATATCTTGTGTGAAAAATTCAAAGGGAAAATATTGTTTTTGGGATTAGTATTGTATGGATGCAACAGATTGTAATAAACTACCAGTTTAATTCAAAACAGATGCTGAATGTCGTGAATAACTATCATATTGTACAGTAAATCCAAGAGGTGGATGTCAAGTGAGTGGATACAATTGTGAAGATCAAGAATTTGAGATGTAATGCTATTATAACCAAAAATTGGAATAATGTGCATGGGTTGATGGTAAATGCATGGATCGTTCATGTGATACTGCACCAAAATCTATTAGAACTGATATAGCATGTTAAGAATATTTTTAGAGTTGCACATTAATTGCTGAAGGAGGTTGTAGATAAAGAACATAATGTAATGATGTAACAATTAAAGAATCATGTACATACAATGCAAATGGATAATAATGTTTTTGGAATGAAGGTAAATGTTATGATAAGAAATGTGAAAATGCTCCTTAAAATATTAATTGTTATGAGTTTTTAGAAAATTGTGTTCCAAAATCTCTAGGTGGATGTATGAGTATATCTGAATGTTCAAAATATAATATGGAAGAGAGTTGTAAATTAGATAATTAAAATAATAAATGTTTTTGGACAGGTAGTTAATGTATCTTATATACATGTCAAAATGCTCCTTTAGATTATGTTACTCATGAACAATGTGCTGCTTACAAAGAAGATTGCACTGTTAATAATACTACTTTTAAAGGTTGTTCAGAAAGAACATGTGATAATGCTCCAACTACATCAACAACATTTCTATAAACCAATTATGATTGTAATAAATATAAACAAGGTTGTATCACAAAACTTGGAGGAGGATGTAAATAATTAAATGAATGCAGTGATATTGATGTTGAAATTGCTTGTGTAGTAGATAAATATGGAAGAAATTGTTTTTTTTATAATAATTAATGTGCTCTAAGAACTTGTGAAAATGCACCCTTATCTTTTAATAGTCATTAACAATGTTAAGAATTCAATTAGGAATGTACTGTAGCAAGAACACTTATTGGATGTGTTAAAATGACATGCTAAGTTCTCACATCTCAAAGTACTTGTAAAATTGATTTAAATGGTAATCGTTGTTTTTGGACTGGTCTTTGTTATTCAAAAACTTGTGCTAATGCCCCATTTGAATATGATACAGATTTAAAATGTAAAACTTATTTAAGCTCATGTACAATTGCAAATAGTGGTCGTGGATGTATAACTAGGCCAGATTAATGCAATTTATTAGTCTTAGAAGATTAATGTTACATTACATCAACTGGTTAAATATGTGGATGGTTTGAAGGAGCATGTTATGATAAAGCTTGTTTTACTGCACCTTATACATCTGATTATGACACATATGAAGAATGTGATAATTATTTAAGTGGATGTACAGTTGCAAGTGAAGGTAATGGAGGTTGTGTACCTTTGGATTCATGTACTACTTATACAGCATTAAGAAGTTGTAGATTTAATAATTTAAATTAACTTTGTGAATGGACTGGTACTGCTTGTTATGATAAATCATGTACAACTGCGCCTTAAGATGCTGACCATGACTCAAATGAAGAATGTGAGGCTTATTTAACTGGATGTATTGTTGCTCCAAGTGGATAAGGATGTGTTTAAAAACCTAATAGTTGTGGATTGATGAGTACAAATACTTAATGTACAGAAACATCTACCAACTCACTTGGAGGGCCATGTGTTTGGGTTGGATCTTGTGTCAATAGAACTTGTAATAATGCTCCAATATCTGCCAATTATGACACTCATTAAGAATGTTATACATTTCTTTCTTCATGTACTGTAGTCCCTACAGGTCTTGGAGGTTGTATGACATAATTGAGTACTTGTGCCTAATATACAACATTTAGATCTTGTTAATTAGCATCCAATGGCTAAAAATGTGCTTGGTAATATAATTATTGTTACAATCGATAATGTTCATATGCTCCTGATATAAATGAATTCGATTCTGATACAGAATGTAATGATTTCCTTAATTCTTGTACTGTTGTCAGAAGAATTAGTAATTTAGGTTGTACATCAAGATTAAGTTCATGTCAAGATCTTACAGAATAATAATGCATTACTGATAGTAATGATAATTTATGTACTTGGGATACCACTCTAGCAACTCCTACTTGTAAGACTAGATCCTGTACTTTTATGATTGGATATGATTATACATAGCAAAATTGTAAAAATTGGATATCTGGCTGTGTTGTTGATAACAATATACCTCATACAAATTGTATGACTTAGAGATCTTATTGTTTTCAATATTATAATTAAGATAATTGTGAATATTCTACTTATCATGGCTATTGTTTTTGGGATGGTTCAACTTGTGGAATTAGAAATTGTTCTACAACACAAAATATAACTGAATTTAATCATACAAATTGTAATAATTGGTTGTCTTCATGTACAGTTGGTGCTCCAACTACTTGTATATAGAAACCAGTTAATTGTGCTGACTATGTGAATTATAACCAATGTTATAAAAATTATGCCGATTAACCTTGTACTTGGTATAATGATGGATGTATTGAAAAGACATGTACCAATCATGGTTATTCAGTTACTGTATTTAATTAATCTAATTGTAATAATTGGTTGTCTTCCTGTTCTGTTAATCCAGGTAATACTGCTTGTGAGACTACAAGAACTTGTGCTAATTATACAGGATCTACTTTCACACATTCTAATTGTAATACTTGGTTAAGTGATTGTACAACTAATGGAACTTAATGTGTAAATAAGACTTGTACAAATTATGGTTCTAATGTTACTGTATTTAATAATTCAACATGTTCAACTTGGTTTAGTGAATGCACAAATGATGGATCAACTGGTTGTAAAAGTGCTAGAACATGTACTAATTATGGAAGCAAAGTTACTATATTTAATCATACAAATTGTACTAATTGGTTATCATCATGTACAAATACAAATACAGCTTGTACTGCTAGAACTTGTACTAATTATGGATAAAATATTTTATTCTTTTCTCATGATACTTGTAATACTTGGTTATCTACATGTACAGTAACATGGGATAAATTAGGTTGTGAAACTAAAACATGTACTAATTATGGTCAATAAATAACTACATTTGATAATACTAATTGTTAAGCATGGTTATCTTAATGTCAAGCAAATATAAATGGAACTGCCTGTGAATCATCCAATACATGTCCTTCTGGAGCATTTACTACTGCTGCTAATTGTGGTGATTATTTAGAATCATGTACTTATGTGAGTGGATCTAATTGCACAAATAAAAACTGTTCATCTCCATCAGGAATAACTACTTACAATCATAAGACATGCACAAACTTTTATAAATTATGTACTAGTAATTCAGCTTCTAGTGGTTGTGAATGGAGGACTTGTTATAATCATAAAGGATTTATCTCTTATTTTACACATGAATCATGTGAAAATTGGTTATTTTAATGTACAGTAAATAGTACTAATACAGGATGTACAGTAAAGACATGTACTAATTATGGAAGTCATGTAACATCATTTACAAATGCAGAATGTAATAAATGGCATCCTTCTTGTAATGGAGCAACATCAACATGTTAAGAAAGTAGAACATGTACTAGTGCTCCAACAGGTTATCAATATGAACATACTAATTGTGAAGCATATTCCTTAAGTTGTACTAAGAATACAGCTACAAGTTGTATGACAAAGACTTGTGCCAAAGCAAATTTAGTATTTTCAACATTTACTCATGCTATTTGTTCAGAATGGTTAAGTTCTTGTACATCTGATGCTACAGGTTCTGCTTGTACTAGTAGAACTTGTACAAATTATAAGGATTAATTAAGTACAATAAGTCATGCAACATGTAATGCTTGGTTATCAAGTTGTACTAGCAATATTGCAGGTACTGCATGTGAAACAATAACATGTTTTAATCATGGAACTTAAGTAACTGTGATAGATAATTTAAATTGTAATAGTTGGAAAAGTGGTTGTGTTGGAGGAGGAACTACATGTAGAAGTTCTACAAATACAATGTGTGGATCTTATTCAGGAACTATAAATCATGCAAATTGTTCAACTTATTTAAGTACATGCACAAATTCTGGAAGTACAAAATGTATAGTTAGAACTTGCTCATTAGCATCTTAAGGTGGTATAACAGTATTTAATCATTAAAAATGCAGTGAATGGTATTTGGAATGTACAGCTAATTCAGATGGCACTGGATGTTAATATAGAACATGTTCTAATCATGGAGATTATGTAACTACATTTACATCTACTACTTGTTAGAATTGGCTATATGGTTGTAATGTTAATTCAACAAATGATGGATGTGTTAGTGAACGTACATGTTCTAATTATGGATCATATATATAAGAATTTACTCATGAAAATTGTAGTAATTGGTTAAGTACATGTACAAATAACTCTGGTAACACAGCTTGCATAGATAGAACATGTACAAATTATGGAAGTAATGTAACTGTATTTACTTACACTAAT